CAGTTTTAATTAAAAAAAAAAAAAAAAAAGAACGACTTTCTAGCCTGATAGTGAAGACACTCACCTGGAAGACCCTGGTTCCAGTCTACTTCAATGAATATTAAAATATTTTACATACTGAGTCTAGAATTCAGGAATCAGGAGTGACCCACTTCAGGAAGACACAGTGTGACCCACTCCATATACCCAATAGGTTAGTGGTTTTGGCACTCTTCTTTGAGTAAGGAAGCCTGGATTCAGGTCCATGCTTCAAATGAGGCAGTGAAGGATGGCTTTGAACCTGAGTCTCCCCATTCCATGTGGGTACTCTAGTAAGTGGGTTTTTAATTGTAATGAGGAGCATTACAACCTGCACCAGCAGCACCACCTCTTCTGTTTTCTTAGAAAAAAGGACTGACCTGGCTTCAGTACCTAACTCCCAGGAGCAGGTTTATGGCTGTGAAGAAAAGATCTCCCCCCACTGAAAGGTAGGGCTGAGACCCACCCTTCTTCACAATATCTCCCTAGTGGCTAGCCTAGACTGCTGCCTTCTGGGAATCCAATTCTTTTGGTGTCTGACTCCCTATTTACTGTACAGGGGATCTTGGATGTCTAATTTGGAGGTGTGAACTCTACTAGATGGCAGGATGCCTAGAAGTCAGACATCACCATGCCTAGGTCCCCCTCTGAATCTTAACTGCATTGACTTTGCCAGGGCTAGGATTTTACTCAAAGTCCATGATATTTGGATAATACAGCAGGAATTCATTTAAAAAAACCCTCTAAAATTACATTTAACTACAATGAATTAAATGATTACATTTAGATATAAAAGTATTATTGACAGCCAAAAGTTTTTAGTTACAGTTGCAAACACCTTCCATTGTAAAATCCAGACTTAGCTTGGAAAGTTTAGTAAGCACAAACATTTTCCTAGACTAACACTACAGATAGAAAACTGTGTACAAATGAGGTAACTTCCAAGTCTGGTAAAATATGTCCTGATTTGAAACAGATTTCTGCCTAACCACTTCCATCCAACTTGAAAATAATCACCATTTGTTCAGGCTTTAAGGGGATTTAACTGTTTTAAAGGGATGCATGAACCAGCTTTGGGAAAATAGTTGAGCTAGTTCTTATACAGCACTTGAATGAAGCAAAGTTACTAACTTTGGCCTGGATGCAGACAGGGGCTTGGGCTTAGTGGTGCTCACTATCCAGCTTTGGGACTTCACAAACACAGTTTAGGCTCATAAATCATCTATGCGGTGAATGAGGAGAGTGAGGTGCCTAAAGGGATTCACAAGAGCCAGCACGCTGAATGAGGGGTGTCTAACCTAACCAATTGAAAATGCTGCAGGGAGGGATGCGTCTGAAAGACTACCTCTGTCTCAGAGTTGCACTGCATTGTCTCTAGTCCTGAGGTAGAAACCCATGTGAGATTAGGATTCACAGGCTGAATCATCTCCTGGACTTTGTCACTGAAGTTGTCCCTTTGAGTACATTTAACTGCCTCACTTGTTACTTGTCAAAACATACCAGCAGGAGGTGGCAATGACTGTGCTGTCACCCACTTAAGTAATACTGGGTAGCACTCACACAGAAAGTGGGAAGCCTGGCCTTCAGAGTACTCTCAGCCTGAAGGGGCCTCAAACCCACCCTCTCACCTTCCTGAAGTGTGCCCTAGCCATCAGGCTAGAGGCTGCATAGTGGGGCACGTTCAATTCCTTCTGCTGAAGCCGTCTCTTTGCAGCCAAGAATGCAAGATTCGTGGAATAAAAACGGACACAAATCCATCCTCCCTTTACCCCCACACATACATCTTTATCTTGGCATAATTGCACCTGACCATATCCATAGCCACCTACATTCTGCCTAATCTGAATCTAATATTCAATACAACACTTCTTGTTGGGAGCACAACTGGATGTCAGTGTCCAAACTGATATCAAATGGAGAATTGCCCCTAGGGCCCCCCATACGTAACACTTAAGGCATGATTAACCAGGTAATCGTGCTTTAAGTTGTGACCCAGCTACACATTCAACCAATAAAACATGATGTAATAAAACAATCAATATGGTAAAACATTATGCTACAAAAGTGAGTTAATAACTGTGTAGCTTGTACTAGTCACACCATTAATTGAGTATGCAGCCAAGAGGAGGTGGTGTCTTCAGCTGCGGGGCTTGTAGCAGGGGCAGTGCAGGGAACATAGCCCCTCGATGCAAGCCCCACTAGACCCCATCAGCTGTGGGGCTCAGAGCTGTGGGTGCCCAGGATTGTGATCCGAGGCTCCCCTTGTGCTGGTAATAAGGCGCAATGGGATCTAATGCATCATCTCATAATCATGCCTCTGCACAACTGTGTGGACTGTGCATTAGATCCCATTGCACCTTTACCTGCATGTATACAGGGGCCCTGAATGCCATAGAAACCATCGGGCAAGAGTCTTTATACCCTTCACATTCTGGTGCTAGCTATCTTTGTGCAAAGCGTGGGGCTTTTGTTGGCAGTCATGTTGTAGGTAACTACAGAGGATACTTTGGTTGGAACAGTCAGCCCCCATACACTGATGTGTGTTGTCACTGGTTGACTCTCAAGCTGTAGAGCAGGGGCAGATAATTATTTCAGGCAGAGGGCCGCCTACTGAGTTTTGGCAAGCCATTGGGGGCACATGACAGGCAGCCAGGGGCAGATAAATATTAATTTTCTTAATTTTGGGGTGGCCCCACAGGCCAGAC